CTCCTTTTGACGTCATTTTCAAGGCCTCATTTGTTTGGACATTCCGTGTAAAATTTACGATAAAATTTCATAAAACTTCCAGAATGAAGTGAACATTTCGTATTTTATAAAACAATTGTGTCCCGACACATACCTGAATTAACGGGATTTTTGGATGTCAAATAATCATATCAAAGGAGTTTTTCTCAGTTACACATAGGTCGAAAAAACGTCGTTTTCGAGGTTGCGCCGTCTGGACATACCTTTGCTTACAAAAACATCACTTATTTATTAAAAAATAAAATTCATGATTTGTGGTTTATTCTTTGGATAGAAAAGATGATGCTAACTAGATATTTCAAAATTCACTGATGTACCTTAAGCGGTTTTAATTTTATGGCGCTAGTCCACGAACTTTTTGATAACCCCTCGTACAATGAGTTTCGTAAAAGAAACAATACTACAGATACAAGTCTATATAAAAGAAGTTGTGTTGTTGGTTAACACAGAGGATGCTTACTCCTCCATGACACAGGATCCAACTTCTGCTTTCAATTTTTATGGTTTCAATGGACGTTTGAATTAAATTAATTCTGTTCGTTATCTCCATATTTCATTAAAAAGGAAGCGTCTGTCTATCACAATGTCTCACTCGGTTTTCCGCATTTTTAAACGTTTACAGATATTCTGCTGATTTTGATGAGTTACAGATTACGTTGGCATTTCGATCCGCTTTTTGGCAACGCACTGACGTGACACTTCTAAATACTTTTAAATTTTAATCATCCAATTCTCTGAAAATTTATTAAATCCAACTTTTAGGGAAAATCAAATGTAGCTTGCAAGCATACTGTAGCTAGAGCATGTCAGCTTCGAAATTTCAAACAACCAATAAAATAGACTCAAAATTGATTTTATGACAAAATGCAATGTATTTTTGTATGAAATTCTTCAAAGTTCTTTTTTGATATTTTTTTGTTTCATTGCAGCAGATTTAAGACTTTTTTGTGTACTTCAGCTTATCATTATTCATTAAAATTTATAATTGGTCTCTCACCATGAACTAGGGTAATCTTACAATGTACAAGGAAACTGGAGTATATAATCAGCATCTCACCTATCATGAATGGCCTTGGAAAAAAGTTGACAATATTTTTCTTCAAATGAAGCTGCGAAAACAAAACCCAGCAAAAAGAGGCACTGCATTGTTAATCAGCTAAATAATTTGCGCAATAACAATTATTCCAACTCAAAAAAAAACAAAAATCTGCTTGTATTTCAAATTCACCAATAGGCAAATATCTAATTATGAAGACGCAAAATGAGAAAATTAATCAGGTTCACATAATTTGTGAAATCTTGGAATTTTTCCATGCTTCTTTTGTTAGAAAATCACGACCGTATGCCCATATGATATATCATTAGCATCTTTGTGGGATTTCCATTATATAACTCAATATAGGAATACTTTTGTCCAGATATATAATTGCTTGGAAAGATATAAAAGAAATAAATTTGGAAAACCAGTGCATTAGGTTTAGCATGTTAATCTGTAATGAAAATGCAGACGTATGAAAGGTATCTAAGGGTTCTGCATCTTCCCAAGTCAAGAGTTTCTGATCCGCTCTGCTCCACAAAAGCCCTTGGCCGAATATGCTAAGTTTGACGGGGTTTACTGTCAATCCATCTAATGAGATTGCACATTTTGAACTCTACTGACCTCTGCTAGTAGCCAATCAGAGTAAACGAATTCAACAGAGAATTCGAGAAAATATTGGTAGTCGGTAATAAATTCAGTATAATTCAAAAAAGCTGAGAGAAACCTTTAACTGGGCTATTTAATGATAAAGACGTTTTCTTTGGGACTAAAACTGGCGTGTTTTTCTGTTTACATTAAGTTACAGTTCAAATAAAACAATAATTTTGATTGGTTCATGCAAACTTGCATGAGGCCAATCAGAGAACGCATTTCTAACCCCGTCAAACTTAGCCTATTCGGTCAAGGGTTTATGTGGAGCGGAGCTGATCCAGAAACTCTTGACTTGGGAAGATGAGGGTTCTGGTACTGTAATATTTCTCATCAAAAATTTAGGTCCAGCAATGGTCAAATAAATTTTTTTGGTGCCGACAATATTTGTGCTGATTACAGTAGCAGTTGTAATTCCTGATACGACCATAATGACAGATTATAGATTTAACAAACGAATGGATATCAACGCCCTCGAACCTATTAGAAAACTTAACAATGACCAAATTGCCACGTTGCATATTTCTTTATAATTTTAGGCTTAAAGTTACATCAAATAGAGGTATTTGTGTATAAATTTAGTTTTGTTGAAAACTTTTGATTTTAACAGATTTTTTAGAAGTTGTGCATTACTTTTGGATCAAATATAGTATTTCGTGATTGCTTACGTGATAACTCGACGGCAATAACAAAGTCCTCTTTTTTCCTATGCATTATATCCTTCTAAATTAAAATGATTAATGCTATACTTGCAAATGTCATTCTCAATGACGGTTGCATCAATTTTAATGGTGTGTCCTCAGAAGACTTACACTTTTTTTTCATCCGATCATTCTTTTAAAAAGTATTTATTGAATTTAAAGAGTTTTTTTTTTGTTGAAAATCATTTTATGATGCATATAATTCTGTTGTCTGTTTGGATTTTTAAAGAAATCATTATACAATATGGGGATTGGATGTTTGTTATTTTGAAAAGTTCTTTATGGTTCCGGAGACAGTTCCCTTCATGTAAGCTCCTTCAGGAAATAGGCTTTTTCTTTGGGAACCAAAATCTTGCTGACTCGTAAAATGATATACATTAATGGTACACTAATACCAATAATTTTCAGTGTAATTATTTTAAAATCATGTTCAGAGAAAGACCAAAGAATATATGATTTAAAGCATGATACCATATATTCTAAAACCAAGTCCCCGCGTGTACGTAAATGGCTTAGATAAATTTATAATTTTCATCTTTTGTGTTTCGTTGAAACAATTAATTTACTCGATAATAAGAGTTCATTAACTGAGTAAACATTTTTGTAAGTTAAAAATTGCAATTAGTTGTTTCCTTGATTTGAATAACACGAGAAGATAATGCAATATTACTTTTCAGCAATACTTTTACATGGACGTAGAACATGGTTAATGAATAGACTTGACCACAGGGCTACTGTCAATTGCAAGTGATCTAGTAATTAATTTTCAGATGAAAAATATCGCTGAATTATAAATAGGGTAGATATTTCTTGGTCCCCATGTCTTTTCTGATCCTCAGTACACAAAACATCTTAGACAGCTGTTTTTTTCTCAGGACGAAGATTGCATCAATTTTAGTGGTATGTCTTAAGAATTTTTTTTCATTTCCTCACTCATTATTTCATATTCTTCACTTATTATTCTCTTGAATATTTAATGACTTTGAAGGTTTGGAAGAGTTATCTTAGCTAAATGTAACATTAATTAAGCTATCATTAAAAAAATTAAGTAGAGAGTTTAAGGGAAAAAATATTCAATTTGTTGAACACATTGTACATTGTATATAGAAAAAATATCTAAGGGATACTTTTTCAATGTCTTGTCTTCCTCGGAATATCAAGAAGGGAAAATATCACGTTAGGTTTATCATTGTAAATTGCATTTATTGATTAATTGTATATTGTTTAAGGCCGAGTCGGCAATTTTTCAGCCATATTTCGGCGGAGAATTGCAAGAGATTAACTTTACTAAAGTGAATGTTCTTAAATGTTGCCAAACTTGTCGATTTATGGTCATAAATATTTTAGGTCCAGCAATGGCCAAGTTAAACTCTTTGGCGCAGACGATATTGATGCTAAGAATGGTAGCATTTATAACTGCTGATACGACCACATTGATAGATTCTTTAAGCTTGATGAACGAATTGAATTCGACGAATCAACCTGATAACCACACAATGTTTCAAACAGAAGATGACATAAACTCCAGCAGTCTATCGAAAGATATTCTTGCATTAGCCACTACAGAACACTACGAAGAATCCGATTCCACTACAAATGACGCGCCAGAAGTGACAGAATCTCTGACCTCTGCTACTACCGAGTCATGCAGCACATCCGGTGACAATCTGAAGCTGACCACGTCTAACGAGATGGCTAAAATAAATTCGTCCGATTTCATGAGTAGTAACGAATCTCAAACACCATTCCAGAAATTGTCAAACAATTCCTCCTCTTTTCGTTTTGAAATTCCAATGACTATTTCTTTATTGTCTGTATTTGTAGGTATTGTTGTAATAACGTTCAATTTTGTGGTGATTGTAGCATCGATCAAAAACCGCGAACTTAGACAAAATACCAATTACAACCTCGTTATGGGATTGTCACTGAGTGATTTTCTGATGGGAGTATGTGCGTTACTTGCTGGGTTACGATTTATCTTTTCAAAATTTACTCAAGTACTTGAATTATGCATCCTTGCAAATATGCTAGCCTTAATAGGTATGAACATGTCACTTTTTCAAACTTTATGCATCAGTATTCATCGATTTCTCGTTTTGTCAGAAAATGCATGGGCAAAACACCTCTTTGACAACAACCGAAAATATTACATCTGCATCTCTGGTTGGGTTGCCACATTTACTATTTACACCTCTTTAATATCCCCGGAGGACGATCATACTAACTGTTACTACGTAACTGTTTATGGTCCAAATATGAAAGCTGTTCAACAAATGACGAGCGCTTTCATTTCAACTTTCATGTTTCTGATAGCAGTTTTCTATTCGCTTGCTATATACCAGGTACGAAAACGATACATTGGTACTTCAAGAGTCACCAGTACTGGACAAATGGAAGACCGCAAGAAAAAGCGAATTATGAAGGCTACTAAGTTGGTGGGCATGATCATTTTGGCCCTTGTCGTATTTTCTGGACCGATGCTTATTTGCTTTATGCTGCCTTTTACCCCACACCCGATCGTTGTAGGCAGTTTTGCTGCAGCCAATATCAACTCCCTTCTGAACCCTATCATATATTCTTCTCGTATTACCCAGCTCAGAAAGGAATTGAAATCCATCTTTTGTTGTAAAGAATGATCATTATAATAATGTAAACCCCTTTAGATTTATGAGGGAGTTAGATTTTGAACTACTCCATGTCAATGATTAAGGTATATGCAAAGCTGTGCATTTTCTTCAAAAGTTGCTTTATTTTATTCATTGCGTTAAACAAAGAACAGCAGACTCTAGTCCCTTTGACATGTTGTCAATAAAATATGTTCAAAACAAACAGCGTTTTTTTTTTAGTAATCTTCTCCCCCGTTTTACATAGACATTACAAACTTAACGCACACTTAGTTTATGAACGAAATCTTCCGTTCTGTTTAAAAAATATCATCTTATTCAACACTGAAGTATATATCATAAACGTTCTCTCGATTACTTTTTATATATGAGTGCAAAAATTAATATAGTTTTAAAGAATATTCTATATAAATCTAGACAAATAAAAAAGATGATTATAATTAACGATGATAGATCTAAAAAAAAAATATCTATAAACAATACCAGTAAAGATCAATAACCCAATTTAAATTCCAGCCATTTATTTACAGAGGATATAATATATATGGTAAACTTTAAATATAACAAAAAAATTTCATATAATAATTTTATAACCCTTTTATTATGTGTAAGAAAACGTTTGTTTAATGGCATTTTTTATCTGAATGTGCAAGTACAGAAATTTCGAATGACCAATCAAAAGCATTGTTGTGATCGTAATCAAGTAGATTTTCAATTCAACACACCTCCATACAGTGATAACGAATCTGAATATCCCATTAATAGAATTGACAAACAGTATTTTCTTTGCCTTTGATATCATTGTTTTGTTGTATTCTTGTAACATTCCATTTATTATTTTTGTTAATGGCTTTATTCGTTGCTATTACAAGTTGTAATAACGTTCAATTCAAAATACTAGGTGATGGTGCAAGGCATTCCTTTTCAAGGGTGGAAACTTTTGATATTTTGTAAGTTTCTTTGAAAAATACCAACTACAACCTCGTTATGGGATTCACTAGCATCAACAGTGAATTTTGCTTAGAAAAATCTGGAGTCGGTACTGGATTGCGATAAGGACAGATTTGATTTTATGAAAGGAGTTTCCACAGTTTTTCCATTCAAACTTACTCTCTTTTGTAAAAGATTTGAATTATGCATCCTAACAAATATTTTTGCTTAAAATCCAGTGGGTATGAACATGTCTTGTTTGTAGGAATCAAACTTTAATAGCTTCCACTTTAGCCATAATGGGTGTAACATAACCTTGACCTACTTTATGACCTAAATACTCTACATAAGCATGACAAAATTCGCGTTTTCGATTCACAGTTAAGTTTGCTTTAGAAAATATTAAAGCTTGTGTATCTCGGAGGGTGGTGTTACATCATTCGACATCATTTACTCTTCTTCTTGATAGAAGGGAGTGAATCATCCTTTGGAATAAACTGTTTCATGCCAAAAGGCATTACTTTTTGGTAAAGTCCATCTGGTGTAGCAAAAGCAGATATTTCTTTTGCTCTTTCTGTTAACGGTACTTGCCAGTAGCCTTTCAACAGGTCAAATTTACTGACAAATTTGCATTTCCATTTTTCAATACAGTCATCGATTCTAAGTATTGGAAATGAATCAGTTTTTTACCTTCGCTGTACATATATACCAAGTACTGTTTTGGTACGAATACACGCTGAGCTCCAATCACTTTTACTAGGTTCAACAATGTCATTGTCCAACGTGTACTGCACTTCCCTTCTTAGGTACTGCAATTTTATTGGATTGAGACGGTACGGATGTTGTTTGATAAAGCGAATTATGACATTATGACAAGCTGCATTAGTTTTCTGAACATGAAAAGATTTGATGATACCTTTTGGCTTCTTCTTTTTGGTGAATGTTCAAATGTCCAAGTTTGGCATCAAAATCAGTCAAAATTTCTGATTTTTCAAGCGAACACTCTGATTACAATCTTTCTCACCTACACTCGTATCACTTTCAGTACAATTTTGAACAGTCTTAGCATTGGCTAAAGTGGAAACTGGTTTTACAGAATTTCGTCACACCTTTCAAAATACTCTTTTAACATGTTAATGTGACAAACCCGTTTCTCTTTACATACCTGGTGTCTTAACTACATAGTTTACATCACTGATCTTGCTTTCAATTTCATAAGGGCCATAAAATTGAAAGGATCCAGGAATATTTTGTTTAAACACCCTATTTCTGGCATCTTTATCATACCACATTTTCATTTTCAATATGTAAAATTTTCTTGTGCAATTTACAAGCATTTTAAAGTTTTTCTTTGAAATCAGACACATAATCTAAAAGATTAAGATCACTAGTCTCAGTGACTTTTCCTTCAACAATTTCAAAGGACCCCTAAAAGTTTTCAAAAGGACTGAACAACTTGGACTGCCTCTCGTGCAGCAAGATAGTACAAGATGAATTCCTTCTCTTCACTTTTAACAATAGGTCTTCAGCATTGTTTTTATTTGATGAAATTTTAGCGCTCCCTGGGACTCAGGATGATAAGCAGTTGATCTATATTGCCTTTCAATAAAACTTGCTGGAACAATCCCGATAAAATTTGAGCCGCTGACTGAATTGCCTTTGGTGCTCCTACACAACTGACAATTGCATTGCCTTTGCAGCCTTTGCCTTTATATTCCTAAGAGGTATGGCTTATCGATAAAATATGGAGATAACGATAGAGTTTTTAAGTTAGGCAATTACACATAAACACCCTATAAAAGCTGTTCATGTACCTGATTTGGTTTACCTACCATCTGACAGACATGGCATGTTGAATTGAAAAAAGCTTAGGCCAATAAAAATGACTCAAAATCCTATTATAAGTAATTGATACCTAAATGACCAGCCATAGGTTGGGTAAACTCATGGCATCTCGTTAAGCATGGACCACTATCTTGAACAACAACACTTCAAAAGCGTAATGGTCGCCATTTTCGTAAGGATACTTTCATAATGTTTATTTATGTATAATTATATTTTTTTATGTTGTTCATATATTTCTCGCTGATATGTCCTTGCCTTGGCTAACTTAGGGATGCAACTCATCATCCTCACCACCAAATTTTGGTAAAAGTTGTGTGATATGTGTGGTTCCATGCTTGTTTGATCCCATCAAGGTCAGATATGTTTTCAAATCAATATCAACAGTGTTATGTAAAGGCTATATATTGAATTTGTTTCTGGCCATCTTTTATAACAGCAATTATAAATTTTCTTCATCATCGCACATGACATTGGAAGTGATTTTCTCACAAACTATAGGATCAGGTACAACCTTCCCACCAGCTAAATCGTTGCCTAACAAAAAAAATGCAACAACAACAACAAACAGAGATACGTCTACTTAAGCTTTGATGCAGGGGAACATCAATGACACCTCACACCCTGTAATAAAACTGACCCACCATATTGCTCAGACAAAGGAGGCTAACAATAACGTCTGTGCAGCACCAGTATCTCTCAAAATCTGGCAGGTTTTATTTCGCTAAACCGAGAAATCAGTTTAGCATTCAATAGAACTGGAATGTGAACCCTGGACATCAGGAGTGTCAAATTTCTAAGGCTTCTCTATCACCTCTAACTGCCGCACAAGCATGGTTTTCCAAAATCATTTTTTCTCTTAAGTTTAAAGCATTCACTGATCAGATGACCTTTTTTCTTACAAGCAGAAGAATTTAAAACCACCTTGTGATGGTTTCCCTATATGTGTCTGAATTGGTAGAATTACCTAGTCTGAGATCTTGATATAAAATTCTTTTTATGAATAAGTATCAGATATGACTGCTGCCTACGAGTTTTCACATTCTTACATAAATGTGTTTTCAAATCTTGAGAAACACATAAACTTTCTACCAGGAACTACAAATTAGCAATTTTATCAAGTTTCTTAGATCTAAACCAGTGATCGAGTAAATCGTCTGTCTCTCGTGAAAATTCAACAAATGTTTGATTATCAAACTTCCTATACTTTCTGAATTTTTGTCTATATGCTTCAGGTACTAATTCATATGCTTTTAATATTGCTGCTTTGATTCTCATAGTCTGAACTTTCACCTACCCCTAGTGCAGAGTATACCTCAGCTGCTTTGCCAACCAGTACACTTTGTAACATTGTTGACCAAACGTGTTGTGGCCATTTAAGTTCTCTGCAACTTTTTCGAATTGGGGAAAATATTTGTCTACTTTTTCTTGAAATTTCGGTAACCTAATATTTTTTGCTGCGTCAAATTCATTCTTGACAAATGACGGTTCTGGTTGGTGCTGTAATCTTAATTTCTCTAACTCAAAGTACTCTTGTCTTTCTAATTTGTCTAATTCAAATTTTCGTTCACGCTCTCGTTCTTCTCTTTCAAATCGCATTTTCTCTAACTCTAATTGAAACTGATATTCTGCCATTTTATAAATGCCTAACTCTGATTTAACTGTATATTCTGGAAGATCGTATTTTTCAAAGACGTTTTCTTCTACTAGTTTGTTTGCAGAAATTCTAATGTCTTGCTTTCTCTGAGAGGATTTAACATCTAACCCAAAATGCAAACCTAATGCGATCAAGTCATCCTTTTTTAACGTATCAAAAACCTGAACACTTGGTGAACTAAGAAAGTCTGTGACCGAAAACACCATGTTGATTTCTGCTGGCTTATAATCAAATTTAACGGTTCAATAAACAAAATTCTGACAATAAACTGCAAAAGTGCAAGAAATTCTTTATCCCGGACGAGCTTTCTGTTATGGGTCAGAATAACCCTACATGCCAGCAAAGATCAATAACACAATTTAAACTTTAATTTATTTACAGTAATATATAATAAGTATATAAAACATAAAGTACAAACTTAGCAAGAATCTAAAAATACATACATCAGAGTGAAACGTTACTGCACACAATGTCCCAGTGAAAATATATATCCCAGTTATATCTCAATAGTGCTTATACGACAAAGTATTGTTTATGCATCGAATTGACAGGGTATTTATACAGTACTATAAATCTAGAAAAT